TAAAACATCAATTTAAAAACATTACTAAAAAAGGAAAAGGAGAGTCCAAGAAGATGAAGAAGCTAGGGCTAAAGACAGCAGGCCTCTCTGGGGCTAGCCATTCCCACGCTTGAAGTATTCCCTCCCCACCCAGGCCAAGTGACAGAGCCAGGTCTTCAAGCCCCTTCGGAAGGCCAGGAGTGAGGGGGCCAATCGCATCTCTGGGGGCAGAATGTTGCAAAGAGCGGGGGCTACGGCAGAGAAGGCCCGCCTTCTGGACCCCGCTAATCAGAGTTCTTTTACTGAGAGGGGCCGAAGCATGCCCTCTCTCTAAGTGGCATAAATTGCCACTTAAATTCTTTGTTTTCAGTACCTGACATGGGTCCATAATTCAGTGGTCTTATCCACATCGCTTATAAAAAAGTTAGTTTTTTTATAAGTTCCTTAAGAGTAGGTGATACGCTTACCTCCACCAGTAGTTTCTTAAATTCCATAAGCAATTGTGAAAGCAAGGTCAACTAATCCCCCATTGTGGGGAGATGGGCGGGGACAAGTCTATTAAATAAATAAATAAAATAAATAATCATTTTGCAGATGTAGGCGTATTTTATCATTCCCAGGTATTGAATGTCAAGGCATTCCAAGGGCCAGTCTACAAGTTCTCTATATAGCTGCTCATTGATATCCATGCTTTTGATAGGGAAGGACACTGTATTTCCAGAAGAAAAGCTGCTTCAAGAAGCATTAGCCTCCTTAAAGAAACTGCATATTTTCCAAGGCTTGCACAGTAGCTGTGCATTCCCAGGAATATGAAATATTAAATATATCACCTGTTGTACCCTATCACTGCCTCTTTATCTCATACGCGTATTTCCTGGGATTGTGTAGCTTCCATAAAAACCCACAAAAAGATACAGCTTTTTTTAAGGAAGTGCTGCGATGTGCAGTGTGCTTTTTCTGTTTTGGTTCAAAAGCACTGCTTGTACCTGTTTGTCCGTAACAAGTGAAGTGGATCATGCTTTTAAGGAACAGCTATTTTGTGGAAGCTAGCAAGTCAGAGAGAAGAGTCATAATCTGATTTTTCTGATAGCTTTCAAAAAATTTCTCTAGATTGTGGCAATGATAATGAAAGTATACATATCATTGCTAAACGTGCCACTGAGCATTTAGTACTGAAACACATGGTTGTAAGTACCCACAGTGTAGCCAGTAATATCTTGCGGAAGTGAATTTCACAGTTTAAAGATGTCTGATGTGATGAACGTCTTAGTTGTATCCATCCTGAATATCCCATCTCTCAGCATTTTTGGATGAGCCTGAATTTTAGTATTACGACTTTCTCCATGTCATACTTACCTTTATACACCTTTACCTTATGTTGGTTTTTTTCTAAATTTCAGAACCCAAACATCATAAACGTTATACTTGGGAGAGTTTCTTCAGCTCTTGATCATTTTAGTTTCTATTTTCCGCATCTTTTTCAGGCTACAGTATTATTTTTGAGGTATGATGGCCAAAGGTGTACAAAGTTTTCTAGTGAGTTAAACAATTATCCTATATAAAGCATTAGGATTTTTGCATGAAAACATTCTTTTTCTTAGAATCCCAATGTACTGTGTATCAGTTTCTTATTCATTTACTACGTGTAAATGTCAGGCTCCGTGAACATATATTTAAAGTCTAGGATTTTTTTTGGTCTCAGTATGGATCTTTTTATACTGAAATTGTATTTGTGATTTTAAGGCTCATTTTCCAGCTTGGACAGATCTTTTGGAAATGTGTGTGTATGTGTGTGTGTGTGTGAGAGAGAGAGAGAGAGAGAGACTTTCCTATTCACACCTTACCCCATCTCATTCGTGACATATTAAAAAAAAAAGAGCTGTTTCCCTCATTCAGTCCAGTGTGATCTTGAGTCACTTGGAAGGGTCTAAAAGTCTGTATCACTACGTGATAATAGCAGGCATACTCTGAATTATGGGTGAAGTGTCTAAACCAAGTAGGGATGGAAACAAAAATGGTAGCATTACAAATATTCTAAGTAATAATCACTTTTTACTTTTTATTATTTTGTGTGATGTTCTTCTGCAGCAGACTCTGGTGAACAAGACGAGCACAATATACACAGTATAAGAGATGCAGCTCTCCCATCTCTGAATAGTAGCATCACCATCGTTCCCACCACGGAACCTTCTGAGAAGCTCCCTCAATACCTACCTCCTTGTGCAGAGGAAAACTTGGGTCCTCTGCCTGAAAACTGGGAGATGGCTTATACAGAGAATGGAGAAGTCTACTTTATAGAGTAAAGTGTCTTTTTATTTCTTTTTTAATCTTTCAGTTCCATAAATCTCTTTGTGTTTTCTGAACATGGAGAGGAATTCTGGAAAAGGGTTAAATTATCATTGCATTCCTGAGACATAAGCTATTTACTTTTATCTTGTTTAATTTTCTAAAATCTTGGTATTCTAAATGGGCACCATCTCAAGCTCTGAGTTGGAGAAGATTATACAAGGGAGGAGAATAAAAGAAAAAGGAATAGTTTGACAATGTCCTGAATGAAGTAATGAGGTTTACAGAGGCATTTATGGAGCCAGGCTGATTTTTCATGCTGGCATAACTTCTATTGATATATGCATTGTAACTAGTCTAGTAGCACTTACTCCCCTGAATAAGACCATAGTGTCGTACTTGTCGACTTTGGAGGCCAACAGCAAATGGAATAATGTTCTTTCTGTTGTAAGCAAGAGGAACCAAGCTTTGTACAGCCATTCCTTGTGAGAATGACTACAGCCAGGTTGTTTCTTCCTTAGATGATGATGTTCCTTGGATGTTTGGAAGTGCGACCTCCAAGTTGCCTGGGGTTTATGGCTAAGTGATTCATCCAGACCATGTGTTTCTCACTTTTGCAGTTCCAGAGAATAAACATAACAGAGGCAGCCTTTGGACCTTTCTTTCAGCACACTTTGATTAATCATAGCATATTAATTCATAAATACATTGTACTGAATCCAGTAAGGTTGACTTCATTACATAACACTTTAGCTGCTGATAGAATAAATTAGAAGCTAAATTCTTACTACGTGGCATGTTATTAAACATTCAGCAGTAGCTGCCTTACACCCTTCAAAATTAGTCATCTCTATTTTCTATAGTAAACAAATTATAGGGTGGCAAACTAAAAAAAATAATTTTCATTTATGCAATACTTAGCCCAGAACTTTGCATGGTTCTGCCACCATAAATATCTCACATCTTCAGTTTGGAAGGATATTCAAATATTTTACAAGATCTCTTTATGATTTTGAGGTATAAACTGTTCTGCACCTTGGCAGACCTGCTGTTCTCCATTATTGTTCATTTGCTTTGCTTGCTGGACTTCTATGCCTTAGTTTACCAACTGGTGATTAATTGCCCAGAAACGCACAAAAGAATTGAATGGGTGGGTGCTTCCTGCATTGCAAGGGTGGGTAATGTAGTGTGTGAAATGGTGACCTTCCACTTCAGCTTTCACATTGCTAGTAATGGATAGCAGGGAGGTGAATACTCTCCTTTGAAAGCAGAACTGTTATTTAATAGTAAGTCTTCAAAGGAACATGTATATTCCCCTTCACATAATTTCACAGGAGGATTAGATCATTTTGATGATTAGATCATTCTTTTGAGGTTTGTGGAAGGAACTGTGCTATTCTGTTTCAACAATACAGAATAACAAGTTTTCTATGTTTTCCTATTTATCTTTGGAACCAGGCAAATGCATTGTGGGTCTTTCATAGTATGAAAAATGGTGAATAATCATAAAGCTCTGCTGGGCCGTAAATATACCAATAATTAAAATGACATTTTCTTTAAAAGGAATAGGAAACTAAAACAGTGATTGGAATGGGGGATAAAGATCTGTGATTGTATATGGCTCACAGTCCAATCCCATACAGTCCAGAGTAGCACCATACATATGCTGAAAAGAAAAGTTGTGTCCACGTGTTATTTTTTTGTCGCTGATACTATGTTTTTATAAAATGTATTTTCCCTATTTTTTAATTTGCAGTCATAATACTAAAACAACGTCTTGGCTAGACCCAAGGTGCCTGAACAAACAACAAAAGCCTCTAGAAGAATGTGAAGATGATGGTAAGACAATCAGTGCTTAAATAATGTTTGGAAAGTCCACCTTTTCTGTTTTGAATGTCAGTGGTTTACAATTCAGACTTTGATTCTGTGGCTGTAATTGAACTTTAGCTGTTAGCAAGTCATTGGGCATTAATGACAAGTGATCTAAGAATCACATGTTGGTCTAGTTATCTTCAGCAACTGGATGCCCTCCAGAAGTCTTGGGACAAGAGTCCCCAGAATATCCCAGCATGGCCTATAGTCTTAACACATCTTCAGTGTACAAGTCTGAGTGGGCAATGCTTTTGCAGCTAGCGAGCACACTTTTTAAAAATGGCTTTTAGGCCTTCAGGAGTTTCAGAAGGCCCTTTGGTGACATAATGGTGTAAGAAAAGGAGCACAACTGGGATTTTTAGTGTTCTCCTCACTGCCATTTTTGTTTTCTTTTGTTTGCTTTTAGTAAAGTGGGTGTATGAAGCGTATTTGAAACAAAATGTACCCATTTTACTATCACTTATTAATGGGTCAAAAAAGATGAAAAAGCAAGCCTCCATAATTCAGTAATATACTAGATGATTTCAGCAGTATGACTATATGGTACTCCAAGACCTTAGAAGAGGCTGGGGAGCTCCATGTATCTCATTGGTTGCCTGTCCTTGGTTTTTATCAAAAGAAATATTCAGCCAGTTAAGCTCAGATGTGCACCAAGACAAAAGGAGTGGTTATATATGGATATAACCATAGTAGCTGCATGCCTAAGACTTTGGATGGGTGCATCTATACAGGAAACAATTCTTTTTTCATGGCATGGGAGGGAGGAGTATATTCAAGTTTTGTAGGAATTATGAAGCCATACATTCAGCAAACATCCAGGCTAGAAAAATGCAAACTAAAATAATTTTGAAAGCAATAAAGCTAAAATCAGCAGCAGCAGCAACAACAATAATAAAAATCAGTACATAAATGAAAGGAAAACAGCAGCAAAACAAGTAGTGAACATTTTAACATTACTAACAGTGTTAAGGAAAATAAAAGTATCATCACCATGGTTTAAAAGATCACAATGCAGGCATCAGATGAACCTCTGGAGAGAACATTTGACAAGTAAAGCCTTGCCACCCAAATAACTGTGTATTTAATGGCCATCGACCTCATCTTATCTCAATTAGGTGGATATGTCTAATTATGGTCTTGGCAAGAAAATAGAAAAGAAGATGTTCAACATTATTTTAGGTTTAAAGAACAAAATTAGATTACCAAGCTAGGTGGTATTTTAGTCATTTTCTTCATTGATACTCTTAGGTATTTATTTATTTATTTATTTGCTACTAGAATCATAATTATAGTAGGTATAGTTTCAAAATCATTTTAGGTAAAACAAGACTAGACGTTAAAGTCACTATATAAAACCTTGTGCTTTATTATATCCATTTGGACTCAAAGACACTTTCTTACATTACTGAAGGCAAAATGTGTATATCATTCTTCTTTTCTGCAGTGATGTATTTTGCAATATATATTCTATATATTTCTGCAGTGATATGTTGACAATTGTTGATTTAATTTTGACCGTTTTTGAAATACTGAAGGAAGGAAACTAGTCTCCAGTTTAAGAAACCAAACTACCTTAATTTGTTAGACGTGCATTGAGAATAGGGGGGAAAAAGGAAATGTGTAAAAGCATATCCTTTTTATGCAAACAGGAGAATATGCCTTATTTGAAAACATTTCAGAAAGTCTAAACCTAACTTCATTTAAAACAAAGCATTTAAAAAACTAATTAAGGAAGTTCTTTTTTGAACACGGAAGTATTTTTTGTTGACTCACTTTGGCGTGGTGGGGGGGTAGGTAGGTAGATAGATAGATAGATAGATAGATATAGATATAGATATAGATATAGA